ATAATTTTACTCTTCGTAATAAAATAAATCATAAGAAGGAGACAAAACAGAGGACGACTATCCATCGATCCATTCCACTGGCTCATCACGAAAAGCCTTACGCAACCGCCTGATCTCTGATGGGTGTCGATACGATTCGAGACCTTTAAGCGTGGATGTTACTCTTGGACTAGCGGGACTGCCCTCGCTCGTGGATGTATCGCCGATTAGCACAATTGTGCCATTACTCCCGGTGTCATCAGAACAGTGATCCGAATCATTTCGAGTAGGCGAGGTTCTTGTTTTACTCAAAGGAAGGCCCACCTGTTCGAGAAGGTCTTCGCGTGATAAAGGAAGATTTGCGTTCTCAAATTCTTGTAACCAGAAGTCCAGTTGTTCGGGGGTAGAAGGACTGTTGATCTTCCTTAAATGAGTAAGATGTCTCGTCTGTACCTTGCCAGATTTGAAATCTTTAACTCGAGCGCTGTAACCTAGATCACTTACGGAGACTACTCGTTGTGGAAGACTCCAAATCTTGGGGCTGATTTGTCTAAAATCTTTTGTGATAACCAAATCGCCTTCCTCAATTTGTTTATGACTCCTTTTTTTATTCTGCGATGCTGCATGACGTATTGCTTGATCCTCCATGCAGGTTATATCATTATCTCGTCCACTATTGAACCACTCCGTCCTCTCGGCATTTGAATCATAGATTAAATCGTATATTTCTCTCTCTCGTGGGGTAGCCACAGGTACACCGAAAAGCCAGTGTCCGGGTGTATCTTCTAACGACGTATGATAGCTCGTTCGATACAAGAATAGTGTTAGAGCAAGGCCTTCTTCTGGGTCTAACATCTCATTTTGTAGTATACGTTGATGATGTTTCCTTAGGTGCCTGTGAAACGATTCGACTGGGCTATTTCCTTCTGGGTGATAAGGAGTGATTGCCACAAGATCACTACCAATTAATTTAGCTAGCTCCTGCATCATTAGACCTTGGAAGGCTTTATCGTTGTCTGATATGATCTGACGAGGAACACCGTATCGAGACACCCACATTCTGATAAAAGTAGATACCACTGTCTCTGCTGTTTTGTCTTTAACGTATGTTGCTTCAACCCATCGTGAAGTTCTGTCGATCATAGTCATTATCTTTAGGTCTCCTATAGTAGGCTCCCAGAAATCAATATGAACCGATTCAAACACCTTTCCGAGGGGAAGATGTCGAGACAATCCTTGAAATCGCTCTTTGCCACTTCTACGCCGCTGACAGACCAAACACGAACTTAAATATTCTCGAACTGACGGTAACTGATTGGGCCACCAGAATAATTGTCGACATCGTTTGTAAGTTCTAATTACCCCACAATGGGAGCCAATTCCATTCTCATGGAAATATTTGATAATGTCTGTTGCTTGCTCGGTTGGAACATAAATTTGATTTTGTCTGAATAGCAGTCCACGTTTAATGGTCAATCCATATCGTATGCGCTCTGACTCGGATAGAGTTCCTTGAACCGATTTTATCATCTGCAACGTAGGTAACGGGGAATCGGTACGGTCTAATTCGACACTAAACACCATTCGGTCTTCTATTAATGATTCATCGTGGTGCAATCGACTCAATGCGTCCACATGAAGTATTTCACGTCCGCTCTTATGTTTTATCTTTAGATCGTACTCTTGAAGTGTCGCAGCCCAGCGGGCGATCTTTCCTTTCTTTGCATTAAACATCCACTGCAAGCTTTTATGATCAGTGAAGACTACAGCCCTTCTTCCACGTAGAAACGTATCAAACTTTCTTAAGGATACAACTATAGCGTATGCTTCCTTTTCTCTTGTGGGCCATCGTTGCTCTACTTCTGTCAATGTTTTAGACATAAACTCGATTGGTACGACGATACCCTCTCGATTAAATGACAGGACTCCAGCTACGGCATAATCACTTGCGTCAGTCTCCACAGTCAAGGGTCCTTCTTGCCATTCATTCGATAAAATGGCGCTTCCTAATCGGTCTTTCAATTGTGTGAATGCCTTCTCTTCTTCTGTTCCCCAACTGAACTCTCGGTCTCTCTTCATTAATCTTGTCAGAGGAATGGTTAATTGGGCGTAATTAGCGATAAAGTTCCGATAATAACCGAACATTCCGAGAGCTTGTCGAAGGGTGGTTTTGTCTACAGGGGATCCCAAAATTTTAAGAGCCTCAATCTTCTTCGGCTGTGGGGCTAGTATCCCTTCTTGGATTACATGACCTAAATATTCTATCTGTTTTGGTAGAAAACAACATTTGGAAAGTCTTAGGCGTAGACCAGCCTGCTGGAGTCTTGTTAAGACGATCTCTAATAGTTGTAATGCTCGATTAAGCTCGGGTGCGTGAATGAATATGTCATCTAAATAAACTAGGACTCCATCCCAGCAGAGGTCTCCAAACAGCCGTTCCACCATTCTTTGGAAAGTGGCGGGCGCGTTAATCAATCCAAAGGGCATAACTGTAAATTCGAACAGACCATTGGGTGTCTTAAAGGCGGTTTTTGGTATATCTTTAGTTTCCATGGCGACCTGCCAGTAGCCAGCTCGCATGTCTAGAGCAATAAACCATTTAGATCCTCGAATAGTTCTTAGAAGGTCGTCTATTCTTGGGAGTGGAAATTCATCTTTCAGAGTAACTTGGTTTAGAGGCCGATAGTCAATGCAAAACCGCCATTCTCCAGTCTTTTTCTTAACTAAAACTACACCAGACGCGTAGGGACTTTCACTGGGTCGAATGACATTTTTCTCGATCATCGATTTCACTTCTGTTTCGATAATTTTTTTCTGTTCCTCGGAGTACTTCCTGCATCTGCAAGCTATTGGTCGGTTCGTTGTCACATGAATAGCATGACGAATTACAGTAGTTCGACCAATAGCATCATCTTTCCAAACATCGACAAATCGTAGGAGTATAGATCTCAATTGCTCCCTCACGTTTATCTGATCTATGCTTTGCAGTTGGCTCGCTAATCTTTCTTTCGCATCTTGATGTTGGTCGCAAGAAACTGAAGATTGAAATACCTTTAATGGCTTATTCGTCCTGCAGAGTTGAAACCATTCTCCGTCCAACTGAATCCATCCCTCTTCTAAATGTAGTTTCGCTTTGTGGTCCAATAAGTATGGGATTCCTAAGATTACTTGTTTTGCATCGGAAAGAATTATTCCCACTAATTTATGGTACATTTGCGCTCTAAGCTTAATTGTTAGTCGTCCCCATTTCTCTTGTTTAACTCTGCTGCCATCGGCCAACGTGACATCCATCCCAACTCCATCTATCGCTTTAGGTTTTGAAGCGAGAGTAAGAATATTGACTTCTGCTCCTGTGTCGATTAACGCAGAAGTCCTCGTTTCCTTGATTGTGATCGGTAAAGTATAAGAGGCCGACGTCGTCGTTAATTGATGTTTGACGCCGGCGTTCCCACAAAAGGGGAGTTATCTAAATCTTGTGTTGTCGAGCTACTGTTAGGAGTAGAAGTATTTATTACAGGAATGATTTCACTTGGCTCTACTTGATGTGTTTGTTCAACAACAGACTCTTTCATATTCTTCATTAGAAGGTCTTTAATTTTCACAAGTCGTTCTATTTCCTTTAATACGAAATCGACCTTGGAGGCACCCTTAAACTTAACTGACATACCACCAGGCTGGTTCTTACAAACCATAGCTACGTGGTTAGGCTGTCCGCATTTGAAGCAGGTGACTTTCTGTTCCAGAACCCAACACTTATGGAACTCTGCTACCATAGCCCCACAGTGTTCACAACGGTGATAAGTAGATCTACGTCCCCTGCGCTGGGTATTCGTAGCGGTTTCTTCTTCGTGGTTCTGTCCATCCATATTCTCATCATTAGTCTCTTGTTGATCGATTGAGAAATGTTGAGTAATGTCTCTGGACTTGGATGGGTCTCCAGTTATTTCCCTTTCTGGTGTTTCTTTGAACACTAAACGGGACTTTCGCTTATTGGATCTTGAGTTCTCGCCCACACTTTTGTCGACTTGCACTACACTCACATGAGCACGACCATTTAACTCGATTAAACTCTTAGTTATTCTTTCTAACCGCCATATTCTACTCTCCAGATCCGTTAGACGCATCGCCAGATCTCCTGGTAGTTGGGCTGCATTTACTCGAAAAGGACGAGAGGTGGTTCCTTTTAAGAAGTACAGGATGGTAAGGGTTATTAACCATAGCGAGGCTCCAAAAACTAAAAGCTGAGTCAACTGAATCGTGTTGTAAATCTGTCTGGAGGCATAGGGCGTGCCAATGAGACCAAGTAGAATAGTAAGTAAACTACACAACTTCCATATATTGGTATAAAGAAGTGTCACCAGCTTGCATACATACTTCTTCAAGTTGTACAGGACTCCAATTACTAGTATCGTCCGTAGAAGAAGAAGTTCCGATCCCAGGAGTAGATCTGTCCTCGCAAGGACAGATCCAGTAGCTGTCGCCATTAAATCTGTTATGAACATAGTCGGTTTGGCTCTTCTGTTGGTATTCTATGCTGTTATTTTTCAAAAATATCCCTTATCATTAGTGTGCGCCGTCGTCTATTTTGATTACCAACCTTACGTTTGATCTCCAATCTACCTACACATCACCTTTGTACACACCGCCCGTCGCTTCAACCGATTGGATGGTTAGGTGAATTTTGTGGATCGAAAGGCTTCGGCCTATTGTGAAACAACGTGAGCCTAACTGTTTAGAGGATGAAGAAGTCGTAACACGGTATCCGTAGGTGAACCTGCGGATGGATTATTTAATAACAATAACAACGTTGAAAATATGATTCTGATTACTAATTCAATATTTAAAAGTTAAAAG